TGCATGGTCAGGAAACTCCTTGTCGTCAGTAAGTTCTGCATGGTCAGGAAACTCCTTGTCGTCAGTAAGTGGACCTTGTCGTCCGTGTCACCAGTTCGTTCCTCGACGTCAAAAAATCGAAAGGATAATATGCCCGAAAAGTATATAATATTCCCAATATAGTTAAGTATATTTCTTTGTGTCTTTCTTTTGACATGTTCAACTCTTCAATATTTTCTCCTTTTTCAAAGACCTTTTTGCTTATAGATACAAATCAGAATTATTGAGTTCATATAGACAGAGTATATACCTACACATGATACAGTTGCATCCTCTCGCAGTGACCGAGTATGTGGCATACGGCGAGCTGTACCAACTCTGGCAAAGTCTTGTCACGTTACCGGACAACTTGGTGGCTCTCTATGTTGCTGAAATTGCCGTCACGATTGGTGAGACATGTTGCGGGTTTCTTTTTTCAAAATGTATTAAAAAAACTCAATAAATTTTAAAGTTTGACTTAAAACCATATACTGGAAACACTTGCATGGTCTGACTGTAGAATTTTGTATCAACAAAATAATTTCATTGTTCAACATGTTTTCTTCAATTTGTGTGTTGATAGACTTCCTACACAACGCTGGTGTCATCTACCGGGACTTGAAGATGGAGAACTTGCTTCTAGATGAAGATGGCCACATCAAACTAATAGACTTTGGTCTTGCAAAGTGGCTTCGATACGGCAGCAAAACTGGCAGCATATGCGGGACTCTTCACCTTATGGGTCCGTTAATACATTCGTAAAAATTCCTCTTTTTATGCAGATCAAGAAACATCAAATTTTGAAGTGACATTATTATAAGGAAGCATTTTTGATGTAATTTTGTTAGCAGCTTTCTCTTGCTGATTTATTTGAATGGAGTTGTGTGAAGATTTGGAATTTAAGATTAAATGAATATGTTGTAATTGATTCCTGGTTGTTTAGTTGTATATAGTTATTTTACTATAATTCCAGTTGCATTGGCTTTATTGTGCCTTGTTTTCCCGGATTAAACATTTGAAAGCAGTAGCAATAGTTTCCTAGTATAAAATGATATGGAGAATCGGAATGTTTCATACCACAGCCCCAGAAGTGTGTGCTGGGTCATGGTACGGCCACAGCGTTGACTGGTGGTCCCTGGGCATCATCGCTTATTGCTTGGTGGTTGGACGCTACCCAGTTCCTCTGCAGCTAAACCACGCCTCCATGATGCACGCTATTTCTAAGTCTGAATAATGATGTTATTTATTCCTGCATTATAACACGTAGTATGTATAAATTGTGAATAGTATACTTAGTGAATATTAATAAACTAAAATTACTTCCTGATATATACCTTTCGATCTACCAACGTCATCTGAAGAATTGTAAGACTCTTTGATAATTTAAATCAACAAATTCTCTGTCATTAATCGCACGCGTATGAATCAACAAATTCTGCCATCTAAAACTATGTGTGTATACTGAATAGTATACACAGTGACAAATATTATGATCTATCAATATCAATTTGGTCTTAAATGTATAAGCCGATGGAATCTGACGTTGCAGAACTGTGACGGAATTCTCGTATGAAATACTTATTCATAGCCTATCAAAATCAAGAGCAACAATGAATTTGAGCGTGTATTTTATGCAAACATTTTTCAGATGCAATTACTCGCTGCCTGAGGGCACCAACCCGGACTTGGAGTCTCTGATAAAGGGACTCCTGAACCGCGATCCTAAGGAGCGGATACACAGCCTCGTCCAGCTGCAGAGGGAACCTCTCTACGCCGACACTGATCTCTCCACCATTACTCGCAAGAAGGTAGTATGAGAATTGTTTGATGTGATATTGTGCAATAATTATTTCTGTGAACGTTAGAAGGCGTTCTTTCTTTTCTATTAAAATGAGAAAAGGTTTTAGAACTTCCCGAATGTTTGCGTGAGTTTTACTACTTCATTGGATTGAATTGTGATTTTATTAACTGAAAACCTTGTGCTCAGGTGGCGCCACGGAAGCTTTTGGAGGAATACATTGAAAAAAAGACCCGCCAAAATTTCGAGGATTTCGCAGGGCTTACAAGCACTCCTAAGCACTGTCAGAAATCAGGCACTTCGTCCGAGCTGTGCTCCTCCCCGGGCATCGACCGCGCAGGAGTATCCAGCCCCGCCTCTCACCGAGGGTCTAGAATCTCTCTTGGGTTCCACAAACGTTCTGCCTCGTCGCCACTGTTGCATCCTGGACGTTTGGGGCACCATGACACGGCACTGAAGTGCGGAGGTAGCGTGGCACACTCTAATGGAGCTTCTGTGCCCATACTACAGTCACCCCTGTTAAGGCTGGCGCGCCAGCACTGCATTAATCAGGCGTCCGTGCGCTACTCAAAGTCTCCTAAAGTCCTGCCTCGGTCCCACGCCCACTCCTACGTCAACATCACAACCTTGTCATCTCCTTCGCCTTCTCTCTTGCGCTCACAAAAAATTAAGGATCGCAAGCAGCGCTTCAGAGGCAGTAAGAAACAACCAAGTTTGCCGACGTTGCATCAAGAAAATTCCTCGTTTGATTCAATGAGAATGTCGAATTCTATCAATGAAATCCCGAGTTGCTTGGAAGGATCTTCATCCTCAACGAGTTGCGAGAAACTTTTTTGCTCGCACTCGTTAAATGCAAACGAATCCAGCAATTCGAGCTCCCAGAAAAGTCAGTTTGTGAGACCTCGATCTGCAGATCTCTCATCGTCAAAAATTATCACCTCGAAGAGCTTTTGCGTTGGTGGTCAAGGGAAATCTACTTCTCCTTCGGCAGGCAGTCCTGTTCTCAGTAGAGTATGTGGTGTACCTTTTGTTAACACCCTTCCTCCAATCGCCTGTAGTCCTTATCCACCGTCTTCCCCTAACCCTTCCTCGAGTCCTTTGTTTTTCTCTTCCCCAGCTCCCTCAGCCCAACCCATGTATGGGAGTTCGCTTCTGCCACCACCCAACCCAAGTGCTCATTTTTTTAGCGCATCAACCTCTTTGTCCCCGGCACCTCAGTTGCCTGAGAATGGCGATGTCAGCTCAGGAAGCCGCGACACAAGCAAGGGCATTGCGCACGACTCAGCATGCGACGTCATTGCGCGTGGGCCAACTTTGGTCGTTCATGATGACGATGGCGTCAAAAATGAAAATGATTCAGTGCTTACGAGTCTAAGAAATTTTCAGTTAGTAAGCAAGTGGTCCCTAGAAAATCCATCGGCGTCTTGTTCGAATTTCCAGCAGGAAAAAGGCTCATTCGACGGTGAATGTGTAAATACCGACAAAGCTAGAGGCAGTGATGAATTAATTACCGAGTCAATTCTGCTTCCTTCTGAAAGTTCAATGTGCCTGCCTGTCAGTCCAACCGTAAGTGGTGTAGTTCCCTCTGCCGATGTTTCCAGGTTAGATAGAGATTTGTGTAGCCAATCCTCAGGAACATTGCCTGTCGTGACTACAAGCGAATTCTCTGCAACAATTGTGCCGTCAGTCCTCGTAAGTCCTACCTCATGCGCTGTGACCATCAATGATTCTTCTTATTCAGGGTTTTCCGCTACAAACTTTGTTACAACTGATAACTCAAGTAGTTTCATCTCGACCGCATCTATAGATGATGCTGCAGAATCTAGTCCGCTTAGGTTCATAGAATCTTCGAGTCAGGAAGCTCAGCTTGCTCCTACGAGCCACGCTCGCTGCGCATCGCTGTCTAGTTCCAATACTGTAGGATTTGCCAGCAAGGTTTCTGATAAATCAATGAACTCTTCGTCCATTTCTAATCATCGTAGAATTGCTTCATCTTCAGACTTTACAACTGCAAAGAGCACAGATATTGAGGCTAGTTTTGAAGCTGATTCCAGAGTTGGAACTGTTGATATCAAGAATTCAACGTCTCTTAGGCTTGGCCGCAAGCCAAACTTCGGTTATGTACTCCCTCGATTTCATGATAAAGAAAGCGAAGTAAGCGATAGTGCCTCATCCAGAGCTGCCATTAAAGAGAAGCTTGCTCACTTCCAGGACAGTCTTGACCGCATCACTGCTTTCCAAAAAGACTTGCAGCCTTATGAACCACCGACGAGTACTGGTGTTTCCACGCCGTTTCCGTCCCTTACGAAAACTGATTTTGCGACATCCCAACCCCCGTCTCAATCTTTACCCTTATCTTTAAATTCGTCCATTTTAGTCTCGTCGAAAGAAATTGCATCGGCTCCTTCAACTCTTGCTTTAACTTCTGCGTGCAGCTCTTCCATTTTAGCTCCTGGCTCTGCTCCACTTAATGATGAAAATTCTGAAGTGTCGAATAGCAGGAAAATAAGAACCTCTCCTGTAACGTATTGTAGAACTAAAGCGACGTCTCAATCTTCATCATTAACCAACAGCTCTCAGACAACCTTGTCATCGCCGAGGTTGTCTCGAGCAGCCTCCATTCGCACGTCTCCACATTTCCGATATAGGCATAACATTCGAGATTCAACATCTCGAGTGGATTTAGAAAGTTCGTTTGCACCGTCACCAGCCGGAAATACAGCGTCCGATGTGAAGAAACCAGAGTCTTCTTCTAGTATGTCCGACCCTAGCCGTGGAAATATACACTTAAATGACGACACGCATAAAAACTCTTCTGATTTACTTTCGTCTCCTAAGTGTTCTAGGAGCGTGAATTCTACTTCCAGTTTAGTATCGTCCTCGTCTCATACCACGTTATCTCCAAAAGCAACATCTCCTCAGAGCCTTTCTTTCCCGGAGACCAAATCTGCGCAAGACCTTAGGCAAGTTGCCGCCTCAGCAGCAGTATCGTCTTCACCAAGATTTCTGATTAATCATGTCCAAGTTTCCAATACTGATGGTTATTTCGTTCCGTCTTCTAATATTTTAACAAACAACTCCGATTCTTCGGTAATTTCTTCAAATATGATAGCCAGTAGCGATTCGCTAGCCTTAGTCGGCACCAAATCCGTGTTTACGGAAGACTCTCACGGCGCGGGTGATGAAAAAAATGCCAACATAGATTTCTTCAACAAAAATAATAACAATTATAGTATCCGTCAATGATTGTGACCAAAGAGATGTTCTACAGGTAATTGTAGCTGTAAGTGATACCTGCTAAACAGCTGGCTGCTTCTACCAACTACTTGTAAGTTAATATTAGTAATTAAATTTTATGCGAGTTTAGGTGATGGTATCTCGAGGGTTCGAGCCCGACGCTGGTCACGACTTCAATGCTATATATTTCTTGACCTTCTTACTATAAATTCTATGTTCATCGTTACGCCTATTTGTGTTGGTGTTTTCAGTTAACTGAGAACGCTTGGATTTAGCCCATGGATTGTATTCTTGTCCTCTCTCATTGAAATGTGACGGATAAATTTGCTTTCGGATAAATTCATGATCGAATCCGGATCTAAATTTTTTCTTGACCAGGTTTTTTAACTTTTGGTTTGTATGAAGTAATGCGATGATTCTTCATTTTATTATAGTTCTATTCTACCTCTGGCATCGGAAACTTTGATTTATATCTCTCCTATAGTGGCGAATAAGTGAATTTTGTATTCATTTTGATTTGTGTAATCGTTCCGTGAAGTACTTTCGAATTATTATTTCATAACTATTACTATATATATTTTGGCAAGACGACAAGTTTTGCCTAGATTTATGCCATAATAAATGTAAGCTTTCCTTTTAGGTCAAATTTTTCAAGACAAGTACTGCCTACCAAAGTGTCATTTATGAGTAGCATAAGATGCCATCGAGCCTATTTTATATATATCAGATGCAAGCGTTTCTGTGCTGCGTTCGAATGTGCTGGTGACAGTCGAGGAGAGAATGTGCTGGTGACAGTCGAGGAGAGAATGTGCTGGTGGCAGTCCAGGAGAGAATGTGCTGGTGACAG